GCCGGCCCCGCCACCACCATGTCTCCTCCCCATCCGGGCAACCGCAGCGCCCCAAGCTGGGCAGCGCCAACCCCACACAGGTCTCGCCGCCCTCCCGAGGCCTCAGCCGCACGAAATAGCTCACCATGGTGGCGGATGTCGTTGGATTATCCCACACAGATCCGAACGAAACCAGCCGCGCCGACGATGGCGGCGACGACGGCGGAAGAGAACGCTGACGTCAACACCTAGTCTTTTATAGGAAGACGCCGGTTGGGCGGGTCATCGGGGGCCGCGCCGCGGGGGCGGAGCTAAAGGACGCCGCGCGCAACCGCACTGCCGGGTCTCTCGGGTTAACCCACTGGGCGCCGGAACCACTGCCCCAACGCGCAGGTCCAGGGTGCCACGGGCGGTGGTCCGCCGTCTGAGCGCGTTATTCAGATTCACAAGCCAAAGAGCGTCATGTTAGCTCAGATTATTAATGAGGTTTTTGCATCTGTATGAGCTCGTAGAATGCGAAACATGTGTGAAATGCAAATTACAAAGTGAACAGAATCCGTGGGTTGTACCAAGGTCAATTTCCTGCTTTGGGTATTGTTACGTAGGACGATACCACCGGGCCAAACTGGGAGAGAGGATATCCCCGGTACCTCTAGGTGCTGTTTGTAACTCTGTCTATAATATTTTCAGATTACGAGCTTTTTTAAAAGAAGTGTTAATCATCTATCAAGTACATAAACTCATTAAGCGTCTACTACGAAGCAGGCTTTTCCTACTCATCCCTCCCCGGTGCTGGAGACTGAACCCAGAGCCCTGGCATTTGGCTACATCGTCAGACCAGCATTTTAAAAGGAAAAAAATCGTTTTTTAAAAATTTTGAGACAGAGACTCGCTAGGTCATTGAATGATCAAGCCTGGTCTGGAACTTGTGATCCTCCTGCCTCAGTCTCCCGGAGGGCTGGGATGACAGGTGTGCGCCACCGCGCCCGGCTTGTACCAGGCACTGAGAAACGCTTCCTTTACACCTTGCCGGTTTAACCATACCGCCTGTTCTTATCTTAGTTTTTGAGACTTTTCTGTGTCTCTCCCTTACCGCTAGACTGGGAGATGATCAGTACTCTCTCGCTGGCTTGGGAAGAGCACAGCGAATTAACTTTACATACAAGGGGTTGTCAGTGTGTCTTACACCAAGAGTTCAGTGGCCAGTATCTACTGTACTCCACTTAGTCCAGGATTTAGACCGTTGGGTCTGAGGCTGGATCTGAGCGCTTTCGCTGCCACTCCCGATTTCTAGTTCACTTCCTATCCAGGGGGAGGCGCCGGAGGACTGTTGAGCATGAGCGTCCTAAACTGACCCTAAGAAACGGTTGTGATCAGATCTCCAGCTCGAGGAAATGAACTGACGCTCAACGGTGTGTCTGACTTTTTTTTTTTTTTTTTAACAAATCACTCGCTTCGATGCACCTAGTTGGGCCTCGCTACTTCTTCCTTTAATGAGTGATGTTCTGATAAACTCCCCGCTGTAACCCTTCCCGCTAACCTTTCTCAATAAAAAAGTAGGGGGATGGCAGTGCTTTCCTGGGACTGGGAGAAGGTGGCGGGGTGGAGGGGGAGCGTGTTGTTGTTTCTGCAAAAAGAAAAGCAATTTTTCGTCTGAGCTCTTAAAGAGGCTCTCACACCCCTCCTCTGCATGTGTTCTGGCCTCTCTGATGTTTATAAAGCGCCGGTCCAGGCCAACTTTCCTGAAATCAGTGATTGCTGGAGCAGCGCCATTTATCCCAGGGGGAGACTAAAGCAGACAGAGGGCACTCAATAAACGTCTATGGAAAGCCAGGCTCAGAGAAGCAGAAGGAGATGTAGCCAGAAGATGTCAACTTTCCTGGTCTTCAAACACCCACTCCTGTGTTCGTGACAGGAAGTATGTTAATTTATAGAGCACATGCACACACACTTTGGGGGACGTTTCCAGCAGAGGGCTATTAGATTTGCATTGTCAATAACTTTGGGGGCCAGGGATTTAGCTCGGCGCCTGCCTCGCAAGCACAAGGTCCTGAGTTTGATCCCTGGTACAGCAAAAAACACAAATAATTTTTTATTAATCTTTAAATGTCCTCAACTCCCACTGTGTGTCCCCTATTAGGCATCGCACAGCCCTTTTTCCCTTAAAGGTGGGCTCTTTCAGAGCAGTAATTCAAAGGTTGGAGCCAGGAATGAGTTTAATGCTTGTCATCCCAGCACTCTGGGAGGTTGAGGCAGGAGGATCCCAAGTTCCAGCCCAGCGTGGGAAACGGTGACTTTCTGAGACCCTGTCTCAAAATAAAAAATAAAATAGGGGCTAGGCTAGGATGTGGCTCAGTGTGAAGGCCCTGGGTCCTATGCCATCACCTGCCTGGCAAGCACAAAGTCCCAAGTTCGATACCCGGTACCAAAAAAAAAAAAAAAAAAAAAGGGAGGGGGATATAAAAAACCTGAATTTGGGGAGGTACTGGGGGTTAAACTCGGGACCTTGCCCTTGTGGGGTAGGCGGCCACTGAGCTAAATCCCTGG